GATGTCACAAATCGTTGTGCATCAGGTAATTGGTTTGTCGTCTAACGTCAGTATGTCATTAGTAAGCCTGCATATGAAGCATAGGGCTTTACATTTGCCAACAGAGAATGTCATTTTCCACTCTCGGCACCACCGCTGAAGGGCGAAGAGCTCCAACTGTATTGTTTGAACACCGTTTGGTTCATTTATGCTATCAAAAGCGAACACAACTTTGATATCATCCGCGAAAAGAAAGGGTCTGCCATGTCGAAAGATTCGGAAAATGTCATTTATGTATAGTAAGAATAGCAGTGGGCCCAAAGCGTTTTCCTGTATGACGCCGTTGGTTACTGGTATAGGTGAAGATACGCAGTTTCTTACTCTGACCCATTGGGTGCGTGTAGACAAGAAAGATGACGACCATGCTAGTAATGGGTTAGCAAACCCATACTAGGTTAAATGCTTGGCGTACGCGGTCGAATGTTTTTTTTCATGTCTAAGAAGGGAACAACCAACGACTGCCCGGATGCATCCGACTTGGTTACGTAGTCCAGAAATTCAAATTGGCATGAACGACCACGGAGGAATCCATGTTGCGATCTGTCGATCAGATTTTGTGAATTAAGAAACTCCATGACTTTTTCTTTGATTATTCCTTCCATAATACGAGTCAATATGGAAGTATGTGGCGGTAATTTGATAGCTGGTGACGTGATCCCCCTTTGTGTCGGGGTAAGACGGTGACCACTTTCCACCTAGCAGGGTATACACCAGTCTTAATTGACAAGGTGAATATGTTTAGCAGGAACAGGGGAATATCGGGCCCGGCGAGTTTAAGCAATGCTGGTGGTATGCTGTCAGGTCCAGGGTGAAAAGAATGCTTTAGGGCGGCTATTTGCCTGCTAATACTATACAGGTTGAACTCAACTGTATTGTTTCACTGGTGAGTAGAGGCAATCTTTCTTGTGCAACACAAGCGCCTGTATTAAACGAGGAGAGATTTTTTTAATAACTCACAGAGCTCATCGGGGTCTGTAGTAAGACTGCCGTCTGATGAGGCAATGGTTATAGGTTGATGACCTAGTGCTTCGTATCTAACTCTTGTAATGCGATGTAACATGTGTTTGCAGCTGGGAGCTGGTCGCGCTTGTGCCTCTTGTGACATTAGCTTTCTTTCATGTCGGTCTTGCAAGTCCTTGAGAATTTTATTAGTTCGTATGATCGCACCTATATCATGCATTTCTTTAATCTAAAGCGCAAGTGTTTTAGACGCACCGCAACAGCTTTAGGAATGGGATTTTGAGGACGAGGAAATGGCTGCTTTCAATATTGCAGTGCAATAGGTCAGATGTTGGTCGAACTCATCAGCGGTAATATTTGGACAGTCTGTAAGGAAAAAGCCATCCCAGTCAAGGAATCTAATAGTCAGACGGAAGCTGTTCCAGTCCAATTTGCGATATGGTCGATATTGGTGGGCATAGTGAGGGTTCGTTGCCGTTATTTGGGCAATCTTGTAGGTTAGTTGGATAACCTTATGATCGCTCTCAGAGAGATTACAAAGAGTGTGTGTTTGTGCACTGGATATGTCAAACGTGAAGTGCAAGTCTAGGATGTTACTGCCTCTAGTAGGAGAGTATACTTGCTGTGTCCATCCACGAGTGACTACTGACGAAAGAAAATTCCGGTACTTAGCGCGTGCTGTTCGTTCCTGCCGCGAATCATCGGGATGTTGAGATCGCCACCTATAATTTTTTGAAAGAACAGCATCTCAGATGCCCATTCGAGCAATTCTTTCAAGTAGTTTAATTTGGTATTGGTAGCGCCGGGCGGCAGGTAAATGCAACCAACAAGAAAACGACAGCATTTAATCCTTACCTGGATCCAGACCGAGTCCCCGAAGCTGCCTGAGGAAGAAGCCTCCAATCTACTCGCTTCTATAGCATTATTGATGTACACAACGCAACCGTTACCTCGACCAGTAAGACGGCCACTGGCAAAAGTCGTGAAGCCAGTAACAAGTAGCTCTGTGCACTGCGAACCAAACCATGTTTCCGTTACAAGCACAACATGTGGTCGAGAGAAGGATACAAAGGGTCGTATGTGATGCATCTTGTTCGCCAGCGATCGAGCATTCGTTAGAAGAAGGTTAACTACATCATTTTGGGATAGAAGGCTTGCTGCCTTTAACATCAGCCTGCTGGGGCTGGAATTATCTAATAATGTATTTCTTGAAGATTGTTGAGAGGCAAGGTCACGCTCATTTTGGCTGTATTCATCGTTGCCGGTATCAAAGAACCTATGGGACCTTGAGCCACTGTATGGTTGCAATTTACAGAGACCGTGGTGCAGTCCACGAATGATGTGGCATAGTCTGTTGATGCGTGGCGGGAGTTAGAACTGGACTTGTTATACATGAGTGAGGTTTGTGGCAGTGTACAGGGCTTGAAGAAAGACGAATGTGGTACATTCTGCATACCCAATACTTGGTCGATATGCGTCGGGAGTAGGGCGCCGGGTGAGGCGGCTGGTTCCCCAAAAAAGGCAAGTGCATATTAGCCGCATGTTTGTAGTGGTTTTCCAAGGGTAGACACATATCGCGATGGTCGACTACATGACTGAGTGGATGCTCAAAATGTGGTACGGGTTGTGAGAGAGAGATTCCATGAGAGGGTGCAATCTTGCTCCTGTAATTACCATCATAACAAAGATAAGCATCTGTGCCCAAGGAGAACGGAAAGAGAGGAGAAGGAATGGGCACACAATGAGTTTGGGGATCACCATCTCCTTTACGAACTGGGATAGCCCTGATTTTGGGAGAAGCAGTCGAACCATTTGTAAATAAGTTGGGTAAAGATACCATTTGGTTTGCGTCTGGTGTCTTTCGGAAAGTTGTCGAAGACTGTTTTCTAATAACTGACTGTAGCCGTTTTTTTGCATGAATCCCATGAGATTTTTGTTCTGATCCATCAACCTTTGCCGCAGACTTAGACATATAGGGATTACCGCGTGGTTGGCCGTTAATTTTACGTGGTGTTGCATTGTAGCGTTTGTGGCCTATTTTGCACTAATTTATGCCCGACAGTGATTTTAGCCTTTATAGGTATGGTATCCACAGGCTCATTGTCTCCATACTGTCCACCCAGTGGTTGAGCAAACTTCGTGGAGCCTGAACTGCCACTGTTAGTGGGGACAAATTTAATATGATTCTGAGGACTATTAGGGAAGATGTCATCCAAAGGCTAAATTACCTCAGTGTCAAACATACTGCCTATTCCTGGGGAAGCTGATTTGGACGAATTAAATGGTGCCGATTTTACAGGTGCAACACTCACGTTTGGTTGTACATTGGAGTGACCATTGTCAAGGTCTACTTCGACATTTAGGCTTACGTGGCGGTGCAAATTTATAGGAGTATGTTCTTTCGAACCTACCATAGATCCTCTATTTCGAATCACTTCCCTCTGGAGTGGTGTCTCATCGTGTTTAAGAATTATCCCTTCGAAACCGGGTCTTGCGGCTATAAGACTTTGAGAACGAATGATCTTTACGCCGTTTGCTTCGTCAGAGAGCTTGAACACGACCAAGCAGCAATGCTTCATCGAGTTCGTCTATAACCGAATGGATCTACAACCTATGGACCGTAAGTTGCTGGCTTCATGCAGATCTTTTCTACGGTGTCGATTTCGATCTTATCAGACACATTGAACGCGACTAAATTTTTCTGACGACGTGGACGTTTACATGCTTCTGATGCAACTGCAGAGATTAAGTATGAAGTCTTGTGCAAGTACTCTAGTTTGGGTTTATCAGGCATACTACACAAGTAGGAGAAGGGACGCAGCAGGTTACAGTAGTCGTCCATTGCCGAGAGCTTTCATTGATGGATTTGACGTCCTTTTCAATCCGAACGACTCTGTCGTATACTTCTGTAGGACGGTTGGTAGTATAAGCTAAACAATTTTGTGAATTTTAAGAGTTTCCTTAGGTTTACATACTTTTACAGCTTTTTTAGAAACCTTTAAAACTTTGTTATTTGGTAGCAGCGCATTTGTGACAGAATTGTTCATTCTGGAGGTTGGGAATACCAGGGAAGAGGAAGCAAGTTGATCTACTTCCACAACTTTACTAAAGCACCTTAAAGTTCGCCGGTTTGCTAATGCTGAGTTGGTGGCTGAACCTTTCTTCTTAGCGGCTGGCGTTTTAGAAGTCTTCGATAGAATGGGAGACGAATGTGTCGATAAACGAATTTAGTCGGTATAGCAAACGTAAGCAAGAGATAAATTGGTAAGGCCTTAATGGTTTGGGCAGCTGAGAAGAAATAATTGCGGCGAAATAAGGGAGAAAGGGAAAGTGGAGTATCAGATTTGAAGTGCGGTATGAATACGCTAGGCCTCTCCTATAGACTTGTAAAATTGTTCAAAAAGCAGTTAAACGATAGAAACCAACCGTTTAGAAAATCCGCTATAAATCCAATGCACCAAGATATCCGAAAAAGAATCCTGAAAACAGCAGCGGAAGCACGACAGAGCGGCGCTATTCGCACTAGGATACCTTTACGTTTTACTGAGAACCCGTCATCACTAAAGATGCCATAACCGGAACGAGTGTACCAGATATCTCGGTGTCTGTGTTGTGCGCGCTGCTTCTTGGCCAGTGAACTCGTGACTACCACATAAGCAGTGTAATTTATTTACTGAAGTACTTAGATCAATAAGAGGCTGGTTGTGATATTGATGGAGGTGTCTGTAGGAGAGGTGTTTATGCCTCCGCATCCACTGTTGAGAGCCCAGTTACTGAATTCGTCACTCATTTCCCTAGTTTGAATGTCCCTAAAATTTGGTAGCTACAATTTGGTGTGGTTCAGTAGAACGTGGAGCGGTGCTGTCAACTTTCATTGCCGGCACTAGATTATTTTCCTGTGAAGCTGTCTGCAAACCTTTGGAACCTTTTGCCGTATCACTGTACATCGAGTTATGTCTGTGCCATTGCTCTCCACTCCGTTTCTCGTTTCCGTTCTCTAGTTTCATGAACGCTCCTTATGGCTGCGCCACTATTTGCGACCACAGATCGAAGAATATCATGAAAATGATCCAGTGAGTGTATGATTCCACAGCCTGGTGTGCTGCGTTGCTTCGATACCTGCGTGCTGTTTCCCTTTCCATTGTACCTCACCCAATCGTCTAGTCAATGAATTTAACTATTTTGACTCAAACAGCAACCCTTCCCGTCCTTCAGTGCACCTAGAATTCGTCTTATCCCAAGCACTCTTCATCAATGTACTTGCGGCGTCCTTGAACCATATATATATATATATATATATATATATATATATATATATATATATATATATATATATATATATATATATATATCGTTGGCGGCATCCAGTTTCGGATTTCCTATCACTGTGACCAGCCGCAGGACTTCTGCATCTACAGAGGGACCATAGATGGCTTGCGCTGCACCATCCACAGCTCCATCCACACACCCCATATACAATGTAAACCCAAGGAAATAAGACCGGGAGGTATGCGGATGGGAGCCACGTTTCATCAACGGAGCCGGCCCACACTCCTTCACAGGCAAACACAAGCACGGTGTATTTGGGGAATCAATCGCACACAAGGCGGTGGCTGGACCGTAGTCCGCTCCACACTGAGTGCATGGAACCGCTCTTCGAGCCTAGGACGGCCACAAGGACCGTGCACCCCGTCCCATCCAGCAACGACCAACTGTCTCCTGGAGCCAGTATGGACGAGGTAGTGGGTAATAGACAGGTAGGCACCTTGTCAACATGCGCATCAAGCGAAGCCACACCGGGGATATCAAGCAACAGCCAATCACCTGGAACGACAAGATGAAATAAAACAAATACAATAATGCATACAGATACGGTGGCATAACTCTTCGCTAAAGTGTCATATGAAATAAGTTGGTTAGCAACGAATTCACGATAAGTAAGAAATGTCCACAAGTTACTTAAAAATGCTACAAACGCAACAAAGTTATCGAAGATAAGCGCAATTAGCGTAAGCAAGGTGGCCAGTTCATCATCATCATGCACGTTAGCTAGAGGTGGGGAACACCTCAGCTACTGTGCCGCAATACACAGGAAAAACGAGAGCGAAAAAAAAGAATTCAACTGGGGCAAGCCGCCTGAGCTACCGGTAACGGATGGGCATCGTTCCGGTAAGTTACCAGCCGGCTACTATGCGTCAAAACATTACTGCGCAAAATTATATAAGGTTAAATAATGAGGTCGTGGTTGGAGGGGTAAGCTAAGAGGGATGGCGTGGGACAAAGAAACTCGCAGCACGAACGCCACTGAGGTCGGCTCCTTGCCATATCAGCAAGTGTGTCCAACCAAACGTGTTCATCGTCTTTCGGACCCCAACAAGGGAGCTGAGACGCTCCAACCGAGGCCAGCTCAGAAGTGAGGGCCTTCATTCCTTTGGACCAAGTCATCGCTTGGCCACCCCTCCTCTTCAATCATCCACACCCCCGGCGCGCAAACAACGCACGTCGCTGGAGTCGGTGGGCTGGCATGCGTAACACATGGCCGAGCCATCGGAGTCTGGTGCGTGAAATAACGGTGCTGAGCGGTTCAGTTCCTTTTCCTGTGCCATAAACAAGGCGTCGGACACGCTCGTTGATCACGCGGCGTTCCCACTAGATGTGAGCTAAATTATGAAGGCACCGATGGTCGAACGTAACTAGCCTCTTCAGGTCCGCTGCTTTAAGCAGCCAGGTTTCACAACCGTACAGTAGGGTCGAACGTACTGCTGCATTGTACACTCTACCCCTCAGGGCGAGAGTGATGTCGCGCCGGTGCCATAAGTGGCGAAGGTTAGCAAAAGCGCCCCGAGCTTTTGCTATACGATTCGTGATCTCATCTTCAATCCCACGGGCCCTGATACAACTTCCCAGGTAGTTGGATTTTTGAACGACTTCCCACCAACGGGCAGCGTATGGGGCGGTCCTGGCCAATCTTGGAGGAACGCTTTGCACTTCGAGGATGCGAAGCAAAGCCCGAAGTGACGGACAGCTAGTGCTAATCTGTCCAGTGCCGCTTGGCACATTTGTGAGCTGTCACAGATTAGGGCAATATCATCAGCATACTCTCAGTCAAGAAGTCGTTCTGGGAGTAGCTCCACACGTTCTAAGTCGTGACCTGTAAACGCGATTTCCATGACTTCTCAACGGCGAAGTTGAAGAGGAAAGGTGACGGCGGGCATCCTTGTCTCACGACGCTGGAGATATTATAAGGCGACGACAGCTTGCCGTAAGCCCTCACTCTGCCCGAGCTGCGAGCATATAATGCTCGGATAATATTCACATATTTCTCGGGCACACCTTTCCTGAGTAGACATGTAGCATGTCTATCCACCGAATCGAATGCACCTTTGATATCGGCGAACAAGACAATGGTGGGCTGCCAATATATGTGGCGGTGCTCCAACAACTGACGCAAGGTGAAGATGTGGTCAATGAAGCCACGACCTCGACGAAATCCAGCTTGCTCTTCACGAATCTGGTTTTCACGAGTGCCTGTCAGTTTGTGAATGATGACAGAGGCAAGCAATTTGGAGGCGATGGAGATCAGACTGATTCCTCTATGGTTGCCGCATTCCGATCGTGAGCCTTCTTTGAAAATTGGGACTACGACGGAGCGGCCCCAGTCGGTTTGGACAGTTTTCTGCTCCCACAGTTTGACTAGTAACTTGTGTAAATCATCCATAAGAGCAGGTCCCCCGAATTTGAAGAGGGCTAGAGGAAGATCATCTGGTTCCGCGGCTTTATTTAACTTCAACACTCCGATCTCACGTTCGACTTCTGAGCGAGAGGGTGGATCCAAAGGGACAGCCCAGGGAGTGGGGCGATCAGTAGCCGGCGAGAAATTTAACAATTCCGTCCGATTAAATTGCCTTTCAAAGTGCTCAGCCCAACGCTCTAAGCGTTTTGATAAGTTGTAGATTGGCTGTCCACTCTCGTCACGTATAGTTTCACTAACACCAGGTCTCCTGCTGCCCGTTTCCCGTTTCAGACAGAATAACTTACGATAGTTACCAAAGGCAGCGGCCATTTCCATCTCTTTTGTACGATTAGACCACCAGGATTCGCGGTCTCTCTTCAGGCTAACGCGGAGTTTTGCCCGGAGCTTTTTGCGAGTTTCATTGTGCTCGCTTCCAGCTGGGATATGCCGGCGAGCGTCGATAAGTTCCAGAGACCGAGAAGAGATCCAATGTCCATATTGGCAATTAGACACACCACATGGGGGTTTTCCTGCTGCTAGTAAGGTCTGGTGAATATGAGACCAGTGCGCTTCCATTGCATCCAGTGAGTGTTTATCCAACTCGCTTGACAGTATACTTTGATAGGCATTCAGAACAGCTGGCTTCGCTAGTTGGCTGGTGTCGTTGCGCTCACAACGTCGTCGTGGGCGTCCGCTAAAACGCCTCCGCAGGTCAGAACATAAAAATGCATGGTCGGTGTTCACACATGTGCTCCAAATCGAGTGACAGTTGTGGACGCAGCCTCTCCAGCCGTAACTTATCGCAATGTGATCGATTTGCGTCCGAGGCTGGTGGGCGCCAAGTCACCCATCGGCGGGTGCTGTGTCTGAAATTAGTGCTCGCAAGAAATAAGCGAGCATCCTCACACAAATGAAGTAACCGCTCACCGTTATCATTACGGGTACCTATACCATGTTGACCGCCCAGATGTAGCTCATCTGTGGATAATTTTCCAACTTGAGTGTTCAGATCCCCAGCCAGCACTACAGTGTCCGAGCTTCTTCTGTGGCTAAGGAGCTCGTTCAGTTGACGATAGAAGTCGTCTTTTACCGAGTCATCGCTACAGTTTGTCGGTGCATATGCAGCGATAACGAATAGACACTTGTTAGTCTCACGTGACTTCGAAGCTTTGAACGAGCCAGCCAATCGGACCGCACACATCCGGCTACTGATTGGAATCCAATCAACCAGAGTAGCTTCAGCCCGGGGACTCAGGGCAATACCAACACCGGCTTGGCTGGTGCTCGAAGCTGCATCGTTACCGGATAGGCGCAAGGAGAAAGTGCTGCTAGTGTCATCTGAAGGGGATCGCAGAGTGAGCACAGAGCTCGAGTCTTGCAAGCGGGTCTCCGATAAGCAGCAGATATCGATCGATAGGGTCTCTAATGTTCGGGCAAGTGCTGCCTGTTGACCGATCTGAAGCAGTGTGCGAACATTGAGGCATGCCAATCTGAAGGAGGATCGAGGGATCCAAATGGAAGCCGATGAACTGGAATGGGCCGCTTGGTTGGACATGGGCCTGTTGACAGGGCAGGAATGACGCTCCGCGTTCACATGTGATTTGAAACTAAAAGGCAAGGGAGTATTGGAACAAGGTGGGGAAGGGCCGAGAATTGGGGTTGAAAACATGGGGGATAAAAGTGAAGCTGGAACGGGACGATACGGGTGAAAAAGCGCGAGAAGGGGAATAAGAAGACGGGAAGGCTTGAGCAGTAGCATCCAAACCCCTATCTACCCTGCCCGATGCAGCAGATAGGGCACCGTTGATTATCCTCTGCGGTGGCCAGAGCATCAGAAATTTGTTTGAAGTGTGATTCATAGTATTGCGTGGGCAGGATGCTGTCAGGTTGCCCAGGCCTAGACAGGAGAACAATTAGGGTTCTCAACCAAAGCCTTTGGTTCAAAAACCTGGCCGCAAGGCAGCGGGTTTGGCACTGGACTACAATGAGTCCGTTTTAAGGAATAAGGAGCCACCCTCATTCCAACCCCCAACCTGGAGGACCAGGAGGTTGAGTTTGTCTGGCCTCTAACCATTGACCAATCTGGTATGAGTGGCTCTGAAGATGCAAAACTGCACCACCCGGTATAGCTCAATGGGTCGCTGTGGTACACAAACCATCGCACCACGTTAAGTTCCAGCCTTATTGCGATGGACCAGTTAATAGAAGATCATTCAGGTAGGCAGATCAAACCAACTAAAGTGGAATGCAATTTATCCAGCTTAAAAAGACCTAGTTGAAGTGTAAGTTGGTTTAGCCCAACTGCAGTGAAGAAGCATGAAACATAAGGCAGTCATAAAA